ATTAGAGATAAAAGATTCGGGAATGAAGTTAGTTACATATCTGGGACAATTCTAAGGTTTAATATCTGTACTTCATTAGTGCAATGCAACTTTCTACTCATTGGAAGAAGGAGGAGACAAGGACTGTTCCTATAATAAATAGGTTATTTATGGTAGTTTTTGCTTTCTCTTGGAAAGTCTGATTTCTAATTTTTCTGATTTTTGTTCTTCAACTGCGATGTGGTGTGGCCACATCTAGTGGTGAGTTTTCACATATATAAGCATTGCATACACATTCACGTTATCGACTAAAATTTTATTCGAATAATTTACTCTGGTAAAGCTAATTATTGCATTGTCTTGAACTTGACAAAACACCAGATTTGAAGACGCTGAGTTTGCTTATTTCTTCCCACAGCATCCGAGACCTTCAACAGATAAAAATGAATAAAAATGAAAACCCCAGAAAAGGAACTTACCGTATCCGTAACCATAACCGTATCCCATACCGTATGCACCGTAACCCATACCCATACCCATACCCATTCCCATTCCATAGCCCATGTATCCAGGGAATCCAAATCCACCATAGCCACCATACATTCCCATTCCCATTCCGCCGAAGCCACAGCCAAATCCTGAATTAATATGAAGTGATGAATAATTAGTTACAGATTTCTCCGAACTTGGAGTATTTTCTTTTGGGAAAAGAAAAGTAAATGAGCTAAAAGTGAAGAGGAGAGACCAGAATTACATTTCGTAGGAATTTTTTTTGCTGCTCTGAAGACTTATTACTCCAGAAAGCTTGAAATGGCAAATTGGATAAACGCTAAGAAAACAAAAACATTTTCCCGCTCTGCCTCTTCTGAAGCCAACCATGACTGTAACAAACTATGACGCAACAATGCCTTCTCTAATGATTACTGGTGATTATTTCCGCCATACTGATACATGTTCCCTTACAGGTATGGTTCGTAGCGCTTTTGTGTGCCAAAGCAGAAACAGTATTTAAAATTCCGTGATCTGGTTGAAACTGCAGAATGTTAAATCAGTTGAATTAATTTGATTAAAGAGTAGTTGAAGCTTTTGTTCAAACGCTCCAAGCAATAAAATCCAAGCATGTCAATTATGTCCAAAAATGTTTTTGAGATGACCGCAAGCTATGTCTTTGGAACTCATTCCCGCTTTATGGAGCTTCTCTAATTCAAATAAATTGAAAATGTTTATGTAAGTTATATAGAACTTGTGCAAGCAACTTTTACCAGATTTTTCAATTTCCACGCTTTATTAAGCAGAGATAAACGAGCACCAACCAACAGCCTACTAAACTGATTTCCATACGCAGTTAGTGTCAATTTCAAAACCCTACCGACTGCCATGCCACAACCAAGAAGGAAGGATGTTGTTTCAGCCATGAATACAGCAAGAAGAATTATTTTAAGCAGAAACATTTGGAATGATGTTTGTTGCGGTCAGTTGAGTTGAAAGCGGATTTGTGCACATTTCAAGTGAATTTATATGGCTTTGGCTCTAACAAAAGCAATTCGTATTGCGCATAAGGACCACTTCGCCCATTCAAACCTGCAAGTACTCGACACATTGTGTATATTTGTTTTTCGCTCCTAGGTGTTTCGATGGTGGATCTATATGGAATTCGGAAAGCAAAATCCGAAAATAACTCAATAAAAAAAATACTCACGCAAGCTAGAGAGATAGATCTAAAGAATTTGTGACCATTGGAAATGTTGTTTTTGATGTTTTCCTTAAATACTTTTGAGCATTAGAAGTAACCGACCTTGTTTTGAAACCATGATTCAAACTCGAACATCACCTATTTACACCATAAAGCGCTTTATTTTTTTCCTCCTTTACGCGACAAAAATTCAATTCTTTCTCTGCTTCCTTGGTATTTTTGCTAGCATGATACCCTAAATTTATTAGCAAAAATGGACCAATTAAGCTAGTCTTTCTTAGGGCAGATAAGTGCTTTCCAGTAACATAAATATGAAAGACAACACTTTCCAAGGCTGTTGTACAAAGACTTAAGATTGGGCTCTTTACCTAGACTATTCAGATACTACTATAAAATCTAGAATTTCCAATAAAGAAATAATTCCAGAA